TAACGTATTCCACCACCCAACAGCTCAAACCACCCAACAGCTCAAAATGTCTTGGCACAACTAACACTAGTTACAAATTTCTATTTTCATTGCTATTATACAAGGAGCCTGCGTACGCTGTACTAACCTCTAATTTAGAAGTCTCCTCTACATCCTTTTTACACATTCGCGCGTTGTGCCTAGTCTTGCTGCAGTTCCCACAGCGCCGTAAAGCTGGTTGGGCTCTCTCTTGATCACCACCACGACGAGCCTTCTTTGACCGCTCAGCGGCTATAGAGGCCTCTGCAGCCACCTGGGCTGCTGCCTCACCATACTCCATTGTGCCGCCATGCTGGATCCGCTTCCTTTTGCGCGATTTCCTTTTGGTCATCACTGCTAATTGCTCTTCAAGCTCAGTAATCTGGGCTGCTTAAAGCGCGTTCTGATGCAGCATAAGCTCGCCGCCTCTAATAAGCTAAGAGAAGCCTGCCTGCGCAGTAATAGGAGAACAAGTAAAGGACTCGCGTACAAGCTTTAATTGCAATCTAAACTTATATATATTGCTTAGAGTCTTTAACTGCTACAGCGTCTCTAGGAGGAGGGGTTCTAGCAGGGTACGTAGCTGCACTTTAAGGCAATCTAATACAACCTGCGTGTTAAGAGGGATAAGTCCTAATGCCTTAAAGGCCTTGTAACAGATTGCCTCTGTAAACATGTTGCAAAACACGTCTTTAAAGGCTGGTAGGAAGCCTTCTTTGTTAATATAGAAGACGCGCTTATGTGCCAAGTCTTGTATGCGCTAAGAGTACTTGCGCTTTAATAGCAAGAAGCAGACTACATCAAGTAGCTAGAGGATGTGCAATAAGTGAGGTAGCATGCAGAGGGTGAGGATCTTATGTTTAAGGCAGTAGTCCTTGAAATCCTAGTTAAGGTGGCTCTTATGGCCGTCTAAAATGAGCAGCCTGTACGCCCCTACCTAGCCCGCCTTTGTATGCGCGTCAAAGTGCTTCAACTACTCTAGACTAAGCGCATTGTTCGTCTAGCTGTTCTAAGAGACTAAGAGCTTCTAATTGCGCAGTATATCTGCCTCCTTGTACTAGGCAGAGATGTGAACGCGTCCTTTGTAGATAATAAAAGGTAGGGTACAAGATCTAGCAGCGCAGACGCTCTAGATAACTGTTACCCACTCGCGATCACCTGGCTGAACGAGCTCAGGCCAAGTACGCCTCTCTGCGCCTGTGACAACCTTTATTAAGCTAATAACACCTATCTAGAAGCCAGTCTTGTTGAAGTTGTGCACGTTGTAGTCGTGTACGCTGTACTTGGCTCTAGTGTCCTCTACCAGCTTAAACCACGCGCCAATTGTCTCTGGATCCTCCTGCAGTATCCTCTGCCTATCTTTAGCTCGATTGAAGGCCATCTTAAGCTCAGCTGAGCGCGTTACAAAGCGCTCAGCCTAGTGCTTGCCAACCGGCTGCCCACCGCGTACACCCAACACTTTATCAGCCATATCTGCTACCTCGCACAGCTGGGGCGCGAATCCTCGCGAATCTAGGTTAAGGATATATTAGACGATTGTTTGCTCTTCCGTAAGCGTAAGTTTGCGGCTATTAGGTGCTTGTTTAAGGATAAATAGGGCTCCTCTAACACGTGCAGAGAGAATACATTGTTTAACGTTAAAAGCGCGCGCAGCTGCTCTCTAGCTTTTAAATTGTTTTAAATAAAGAGCTTTAAGGGCAAGGTCAACTCTACCTTTGTGTTCACGTAGTAACGTGTTATGTGGTTGAGGCATGTTGCAACAAAGAGGGTGTTCGTTGTGCCAAGACATTTTGAGCTGTTGGGTGGTTTGAGCTGTTGGGTGGTGGAATACGTTATCTAAAGAACTAGATAAGAAATAGAAAGGATTTTAATACTAATATTAAAGCTACTATACTAGTTACTATACTAAATTATAATATCTAAGTTTATTACTAAGGTTTAAAATTTCTTAGTCTACTAGTTAAAAAAATAAGTACCTTAAATAATAGGAATTTTAAAAAACCTTTTACTATAAAGTTATAGAGAATTAAAATTAACCTATAGTAACTTAAATAAAGTACTTCTATTTCTTAGCTAGATAAAGAGTTATCTAGCTTTAAAGATGCTAGATTTTGCTACTTTTACTAGTAAAAAGCGGGCGTTGTGTGACTCCAGGCGTTGTGCGCACGGACACGGTAGGTGTAAAGAGACTGGGCACAACTCGCGCACATGCAACGCTGATACTATTAATATAGAGTAGTCTACTATATTAATATCTAGCAATAATATTATTGTGTTGTTAAGATATATTGCTTTGAAGTTGCAAAAGTTGGTAGGGTGACTAACTTGCTTGTCTGACTGACTCGCTTGCCAACCATGTTATATCTTTAACACAATAAAGTGTTAACGTACTCCACAAGCATGCCGGTCACCCAAGTGTACCGGTCACTTTTGCCAAGACCACACCAACACTATAACTACTTTGCAGTACTATAGTACACAGCAG